GGGTTGGGGTATTTTGAATGGGAGTGTGAGAGGGGATGAGGAAGGAGAATTTACTTTCACAGGGGGAAAGGGATGTACGGTAATAGATTATATACTGGGGGATGAGGACGTAAGGGAAAGGGTGGAATGGTTGAAGGTGGGGGATAGGGTGGAGTCGGATCATCACCCGGTGGAAGTACGAATGAGAGGAGAGGTGAGGAAAAGAGAGGGAGGAAAAGGAGGAAATAGAGGCTGGAGAGGAGTGTGGGATCAGAAGGGCAGAAAGACGTTTAAAGAGAACTTGGGCAAAGTAGTATGGAAGGAGGGGAATCTGGAGAGGGAATGGGAAGAGTTAGAGGGGAAAGTGAGAGAGGCTATGAAGGAGGTGGAGAAGGAGAGGGGTAAGGAGGAGGAGAGAAGAGAGGGGTGGTGGGATAAAGAGTGTGGAAGGAAAAAGGAGAAGTTAAGAAGAGAGCTAAGAAAATGAAGGAGAAAAGGGGGGGATGGGGCGGAATATAGGAAAAAAAGAAAGGAATACAACGAGATGTGCGAGAGAAAGAAGAAAGAGGAAAATGAAAGATGGGAGAGACGAGCAATGGAGGCTAGAAGAGAGAAAGAGGTATGGGAGATAGTGAATAGGGAGAGGAAAAGGAGAAGGAGAGTGAACGAGGAAATAGAAATGGAAAGGTGGAAGGAATATTTTATGGAGCTACTGGGAGGGGTAGAGGGAAGAGTAGTTAGGAGAGGAAAGGGAGGGACGGAAGGGGAAGAAGAGAGAGAGGAGGAGTTGAGTAGGGAGGAAATAAGGAAGGCGATGTGTGCAATGCGGGATGGGAAGGCAGCAGGAGCAGACGGAATACCGAGTGAGGTGTGGAGATATGGAGGAGAAGAGATTGAAGAATGGGCATGGAGTTTTTGTAATGGGGTGTGGAATGGAGAGGAGTGGCCGGAAAATTGGAAGGAAGGAGTGGTGGTACCGATTGTTAAAAAGGGAGAGGGAGAAAGGGTGGAAGACTATAGAGGGGTCACCTTAATGCCAACACTGTATAAGGTGTATACGACAGTGTTGGCGGAAAGGCTAAGAAGAGAAATAGAGGAGAAAAAGGTAATTCCACCAAATCAGACGGGCTTTAGGAAGGGGGTGGGAACCATGGATAATATCTATGTGTTAAATTATCTCGTGAACAGGCAGCTGGGGAGGAAGAAGGGAAAGATAGTGGCGATGTTCGTAGATATTAAGGCGGCATTTGACTCGGTAGACAGAGAAGTTTTGTGCAGGGCTATGAGGGAACGAGGTATTAGAGAGGGACTAGTGAGGAGGGTGGAGAGAGTAATGAGGGAAACAAGGAGTAGGGTCAGAGTGAGAGGGGAGATAGGGGAGAGTTTCTGGACGGCGAGGGGGGTGAGACAGGGGTGTCCATTGAGTCCACTGGTGTTTAATTTGTTGATGGCGGACCTGGAAGAGGAGATGGAAAGAGGTAGATGGGGGGGAATAAAGTTGGGAGAGGGGAAAGTGTATACTCTGGCGTACGCGGATGATATAGTGATGATGGCAGAGGAGGAGGACGAGATGAGAAGTATGATAGAGAGGTTGGAAGGTTATTTAGATGGGAAAAGATTGGAGCTGAATGCGAGTAAAACGAAGATTATGAGATTTAAATCGGGGGGAGGAAGGATGGGGAAAAGGAATTGGAGATGGAAAGGAAAAGTGATAGAAGAAGTAAAGGAATTTCGATATCTAGGGTATACACTGCAGAA